TTCCGACCAGAAATCTCCTTTACCTGACCATTTTAGTTCACTTATTCCTATTATATCTATTTTAAGTCGTTCCATTTCAATTTTGAGGTTCTCCAATTTACCACAGATCCCTAAAGACCTTACATTCCACGTTCCTATTCTTCTTTTCCTTACTTTGTTCTTCTCCTTTAATGAATACTTAGTAGCATTAGTCCCCGCCCGGAGATCCGAATGGGGGACTATTTTACCTCCGGAATTTATTAATTCTACTGTATCCATCATGTCATTATCCTCAGGATGTATAATGCAGTAGTTTCCTCTTGCTTTCTGCATCGCAGTTGGTGGTACTTAAGCTATCCTCAAGCTGCCTTCGCCAAATCCTTCCATTGCCGTTTGATCCGCTACGAAAATCGTCAATGGTCGGTAGTAACGGTTACTGCAGCCTTCCGCTATCTCCTTTTAATCGCCTTTTACGATAAGCAGGAGTTACTGTAGTCCTATTCTAACCCCAGACCACAGGGGTAATTTCCATATATAATAAGCAAAAAAAAAAATCATAAATAAATTATCTAATACTGTTATCGTAACCATTTTTTTTTTTTATATTATAAAATCAATGTCGTAACTTATATTATTTTACCCTAACATTCTAATTTACGTGATCACCTAATCGTATAATGTTATTTAGATACGTATACTAAATTCTATATATATTATATATTCATGTTTATTATTTATTTTTTTTTATTCATTATTATTTTAATATTAGTTATTTTTTATCACCATCTACACTATATTATTACCTTCATTGTTATTATATCTGTTTCTGCATTTAATGTAATTATCAAACTATTTGTTGAAAGTTCTAAATAAAAAAAAAAAAAAAAAAATTAAAAAAAATAAAAAAATTATAAGAACAAATGCATTAAATAATTTTTATGTAATTTATCGTAATGAAATTATTTAGAGGGATGTGAAGCCCCGAAATCAACCACAAGAGGCTCCTTTACAGGGGCATTGTCCTGCTGCCCCTGCGGTTTTTGCGGTACTGTAAGTATTGTGATGTTAGAGTAGGATTTACGAGGAGTAACAATTTAATGTTACGCAATATTTAAATTATTTATATATTATATAAATAAATCAATTAAAAAATATAAGAACATATTTTTAGTGTATATTATGCACTTGGTTTTTAAGCACATAAGTGCTTGCATATTTAGTGTTTTTTTAACGCTACCAGTCTTCTGATTTATTGATGATGAATTTTTAATGGTATGGATACCGCGAAAACTGTTTTTATAAAGATCACATATATATAGAAATATATTATATACCAAAAATAAAGTTTATAAGATATGCGTAATAACGATTGTTATAAATCGGGGAGGAGCCAGTGTTTCCCAACTTTTAATAAACCGTGAACTTATATTTAAAAGAGATATTTATTTTTATTTTTTTTAAAAGAAATATTATCTGATTTCTAAGTACAAAATAGTAAATAAAAATATACTATTTACCGATTTTAGCATTTGATCATTGGATAAAGAATTGCCGACTTTTTAAAATTTCATAGATTAGGGCATTTGCCCTAGTCTGCCCCCTCCAAATGACGTTCCTGTGTATAACGAAATACAACTTAATTACTTTATATAAATATAATCGTTATCTAAGTGCTTATCGAATTTTTAATATTTTTAGCACTTCAATGTTCAGTTAATTAATCAATATTCTGTTTCCCTTTACTTTTGATTTAAAACCCAAAACTCATTACAAATACCCATAAGGCCACAAACTTGTAAAGAATATTAATTAATCGTATAATATTCTGTTCTCAGATACATAAAGAATTGTGCAGTATAATCCTGAAATCCAATGGAAGAATAATCCATATAATTTATAAATTTTAATAACATATTAAAACCTTTATTTAGTTCGGTAGTCGGGTCTGCGGTTTTCATATATATTTTTGCAACACATTTCCTATACGCACACATGCACAGCGGTTGAGATTGAGAACCATTGAATTATAGAACATTCACTAATTACAATTGAGTTCATATAACGTGTACTTGATAAACCAAACACTTAAACATTTGAAGATTATATTAAGTACTTGTTGATACGTCGAACAGTAATTATTTGTTGAAAATGTGTACTAACTTCATGGAATATTCATACGTATAATACATAGTATACTTCGACATCCGAATCGTATTTTGCTATTCATATTGTTAATAAATTTTGCAGCTCTTAATTTTTTATTTTTTAATTTTTATTATTTTCATAAGATTTATTAGAACACGATAGTTACTATCGCAGCTTAGTAAGTACCTATAATTATTATACACTAATTACAGCTGTTCTCACGCGTTTAACATAACTCCTTGGCCACACCTACCAAGGAAAAAATTAAATAAAATCTAAAATCTAAAAATATCCTATTTAACGAAATTAATATAGATATATTACACCGTGTCCTCATACTTTTTACAAACACGGTTTAATCACGAATAAAAAATTGTATTTTCTTCAATTCAGCTATGCTTTCCTGTCATATTATCTCTATTATCTCCTTCGTCCTTGGTTCTGGCTTCCTTGTGTAAGCCAGTGGCGTATATAGGAATTATTTTCACTATGGGCCAATTTACCCTCACCATAGCTACAACTAGAATTTTTAGGAAACGGGTGGTTTTAATTGTGACAAATGATATAAATATAGGAATTTATTAATATATTTATTTATTATTGAATAAAATACATAATAAACTAAGCATTTTTCTACAGAAGCTAGACTTAAAATGTTTTTGACTTAATATTTTGTAAAATACATTTTTCTATTTTTTTTTTTAATAAAAATATTAAAATTTCTTCAACATTTAAACTCTAAATTTTAAAGGTATGTAACGATGAATCGTCATCAACGAAAGGATCGACAATTTAACGTTGCCTTGTTGATTTCTCAAAAATGTTTTAAGTTGACCTAGTGCTGAAAAACTCCTTTCAGCAGATGCAGTACCTAGTAACAAGTTATTTTCAACAGAACATATATTGTTGGAAATTCATCTTATAAGATTAATTTCCAACAATATATACTATATATAACAATATAACTATAGTTGCATTTTTTTAAAGCTTCATTAGCATATTTTGGAATGCTATCAGATGTATTTAAACAAAAAAATTTCCATTTACCTTCAGTAATTTATGGATTATAGCTACCTTTAAAATCAGTTTGGTAAAAATTAATGGCATCAGTATAGTTAGAATTAATCACATAAAATGGTACAATATGTTGATGACTTAAAAAAACTTTTTTATATTCGGTAAATCTGTTAGTTAATGACACAGATAGATCATCAAGATATGGAATAAACAAACTAATTCTAAAATACACTTCTGGAAAACCATGGTATTAGTCAGTAACGTGAATTGTATACCTCAAAAACAACAAACTAGCATAGAACAACAATAATAATAGTAAGTACGGACCATGGTATCATATAAATAGGTATATAATTGTATAATTTAGCAATATGCTTAAAATATTTTAATTGAATCTAAATTTTCACTATGGGCCCGGGTCTAGGCCCCCCCCCCCTATATACGCAACTGGTATAAGCATAGGCTTGCACAGACCTGCATTTTGGTAGCGCTTACAATATTTTTGTGCCCTTTTCTTAATTTATGTCCTTTCTTAACAAGACATTAACATGTTTTAATAAATTATAATATTCTAACACAATAACTATAAATTTATAATAACATGCGTATAGTACGTAAATTATTAAACTTATTAGCTAATAAATAAATTTACTTCAACATTAGCGGCCATTTCTTGCTCTGTCAAAAGTAAAATTAATAATTTCAAACAGTCTTCTTTCAAATTTACTTTTTGCAATATTTAATTTTGAAAATACCTAATTACACAAACAACTAATAACGGGCAAAGTGCTAAACATCTGTAGTATTTTAAATAAACAACTAAAAATATTACATATTTTGGAGTCTTTTATTAACTCAATAATAATTCATACAGCAAAACCATTTACAAGACAATATTTAACATAAATGGCAAATTAGAATTAGTTATGTATTCTTAAATAGAAAACTTTGTAAAAGGTACTTATAGATGAAGAACTTGTAGATGTAATCAATACTAAATATCATAATTTTTAAAAAAAAATTGTTGTCGCTAATTTTAGTTAAAATATAATATTTACAATAATTAATTATTATTACCTAATAAGTAGGGCTTGGAAGTTGTAAGAGCTAAAAAAAACAAAATATGCTCGAAAAAATTGCAAAATATGCATTAAAAATGTAAAATATACAAAAAAAATATATATAAAAAAATACATCTGATGTTGTTAATAAATTAATAAAATGCACAAAAACTATTTTTAATTGAAAAAATGTATAAATAGCTACCATTTTGATATTTTATTGAGCTGAAAATATAATTAAAAATATATAACATACCTACCTAGGTTAGGTATATGATATTGAAAAAATACACATTATAGGTACTTACCTAACCTACTAATGATATGATGGCTTCTAGAACAAAACTGTCGAAGAATCAAAAGAATTAAAGAATCGTGTATAACAAATATAATAATGACAAACGAAGAAATAAAAAATATATTTATGATAAACAGGGCTCGGAAGTTCTAGCAAATGCATATTTTTTTTGGTTCATCCTAGAACATCCAAAGTAAGATACAAATGTTTCTCACTACTCGGATATCATACACAAAATTCAATTTTGCTATTTTTTGCATATTTACGAGTTTTATTACTATTTTGCTAATTTAGGGTTTATAGTGCTATTTCCGGTTATATTTTCACATAATTTAGGAAATAATCAAATTTTGTTGATAATAATTGTATTTACTTGGTTATATTTGTAAAAGTATTTTAATTATTGGAAATAAATAGACTTCATCAAATATTATTTTATGTTTTCATGGCAGTTACGCCGCGACAGCCGTCCGATGCACACGTGCATCGCTCCGCGCTTATCGCGACAATTAAATTTAATGAGCAATATTAAGTTATATCATACTTCTCAAATTATACATAACTTAATCTACATAAAATGTCCTTTTTTTTTTTTTTTCCTTCATTATTATTACTAACCAACGCGTTACTAAATACTGAATAAAACAATCTGTAGTCTTACATAAAAACTTCAACACCGGCTCCCGGCCAACGGCCGCATCTCGCGGTCTAAAACACATCCTATCGCACTATGAACACCAACACCAAGACAGCCAGTCCCAAAGGTAAAACTAAACAAAAATGCTTATCACTGTTAACGATTACGAAACTAATTAAGCACACGGCGAGTGAAACGACTCCATCTGACTGTTCTGATAATGAATTAAACTGGCAAAACGTTGAAACAAACAAACGTATTAGATCGCCAAATAACACTACTATCTCACCACCACGCACAAAAACAAAAAATGAACCAACAAAATTCACTTCCACTAATCGTTTTTTCCGCAATTGCTCCTATTGAAGAAATGAATACGGACGCTGAAATAAATGTCGAACTTAAAGAACCTCCCCCACCACCGCCAATTTACATAACATCTCCAATACAGTACGTCGATCTGTGTAAAAATTTAACACTAATAACAAAAAACGAGGGTTTTCAATGAAAATCTACTACGAAAAACATCAAAGTAAATCTCCATTCTGCCAACTCGTACCGGGCCGCAATAAAATTGTTCACCGAAAATAACATTGAGTATCATACGTACCAAACGCAAGAAGAAAAATCCTACAGAATCGTCATCAGGAACCTTCATCATACAATCCCAACCGAGTACATCAAAGAAGACATTGAAGCAAACGGATTCTTAGTAAAACATGTGACTAACATACTAAAAACACAAACTAAAGAACCTCTTCCTCTATTTTTTGTAGACCTCATCCCTACACCAAATAACCAAGACATCTTTCAATTAAAAACTATCTGATTTTCCAAAGTTAAAATAGAAGCTCCTCATATTAGACGCGACTTAGTTCAATGTCATCGATGTCAACAGTATGGTCACACCAAATCGTACTGCAACCATCAACCTAAATGTGTCCGATGTGGTGAAAACCACAGCTCTGATTTATGCTCTAAATCCAAAGACCTACCCGCAAAATGTGCACTTTGCGGCAATAACCACCCGGCAAACTACAGGGGATGTTCCGTCCACAAGGATCTACAAAGTCTACGAAAAAAACACCAATCCAACACCAACTCAAGAGTAATAATCGAGAAGTCCACCTCACCTCAAACTCAATCCAGCAGCCAAACTACTCAAGGAGAAACACAACAACACGAAAATGTACCTCTAAATCCTCAAACCGAACCCAACAACACCCAGCACATATTATATTCACAAGTAACTAAAGGTAGTAATCCAAATAAACTATTGTTAAACAATTCAAATGGTCATCTCCCCGATCAATCACTAACAAGTCAACTAACAACATTAATTTCTGAATTTAAAACACTAATATCACCCCTCATAACACTTCTTAATCCTCTAATAACCCTTCTCACCTCACTCATAAATAAATTAAGTTATAATAATGGAAACTAATCTCAAACTTAAAATAATCACATGGAACGCAAACGGTATTCTGCCTCATAAACTAGAACTTCAGGCATTCTTAAATAATCACAATATAGATATAGCTATGATTTCTGAATCTCACCTAACTCCAACGAAAAATATTAAAATTCTCGGCTATAAAGCCTATCAAAGTAATCACCCAGATAACACGGCTCACGCTGGCTCAGTTATACTAATAAAAAATAACCTAATTTATTCACCTCTCCCCGAAATTAACGAAACTTATCTCCAAGCAACCAGCATTCTTATATCCTTAAATAAATACACTAAACTAACACTCTCATCTACTTACTGCCCTCCTGGCCCTAAAATTAGTATGAATAACTTCAAAAACTACTTTGAATCACTAGGTAAATACTTCATTATAGCTGGCGACCTAAACGCTAAACACTCCACTTTGGGATGTTTTTCAACAAACACAAGGGGAAGAACTCTTCTTAGATCACTAGAAAGCTCCAACATAAAAATACTATCACCTCCTCACCCCACCTATTGGCCTTCGTATCAAAATAGACGGCCCGATATCCTTGATATTTTCATAGCAAAAATCCCAAGACACTGTAATATCAATGTCTTTAATATAAACGATCTATCATCCAACCACACACCAATCATACTTGACTTCGAAATACTCACTTCAAATACCCTCGAAAATGCCCAATCTCACGGAAAAATAGACTGGCCC